CCGCCATGGTCCCTGTTCTTCACACACATTGTGAAACGTTAAAGACGCCAGCCCACCCTCGGCCCTTTTCACGTTGCCTGCAGGTGGTTTTCCGGAGTGCGACTTAAACTGTCTTGACCGTGATCGTCTTGTTCCTAAAAGAGCATCTCGCACGTCCTTGTCGAAGGAGTGAATTTAGATGTTTTTGTGTCAGAGCTGTCCCTCCTTCCCTTAGGGTTCCTGTCCCCGGTGCTGCCTGAGAAAGTCCTTTCTATGCCCAGACCTTGTCAGCACCTTGTTTCATGGTGCGTCATGGTTTAATTTTTCTCCATAAACCTACCTAAAATGTCGCATCGGATGACGTCCGGTTGGGACGTGAGCTCTGCCCGGGCCGTCAGTGTCCCGTCTCCCGTCAGGCCCTCGTTCCTCACCAGTCTGGGAGGCTGTCTTCACCCATGGGCCGCCCGCGTCTCTCACTCGGGCTCTTCCTGGGTGCCCTGTGCCCCTCTCCGCCCTGGCACCCATCGCCACTCTTTCAATTCGTGGGATCCTAAGCGTGAATAAGGTTCATCCCTTATTCGTCCTCCTTTGTAGAAAGGTTTTTTGCTATTCTCAGGTATTTAATTCTGCCAAATAAGTTTTGGAATCATTTGGACATGTTCTTTCAAAACACCATAGGGATTTTTGTGGAAATTGCGTGACAGTCATGTGCTGCTTGATGACGGCACGCGTTCTGAGAGGCGTCATTCGGTGATTTCATCGTTGTGCAAACACTGTGGAGCGACTTGGCCGAGATGGCACCGCCTACCACACCCCTGAGCTGTGCGCGCAGCTGCCGCTCCTGGGCTACCGGCCTGCGCAGCCGCGGCCACAGTGAACGCCACAGGCAACTGTAGGGTGATGCTGAGTATTTATATAGCTAAACATAGAAAAGGCACAATAAAGATACAGTATAAAAGATAAACGTGGGAAGAAAAGATTAAAAAAATGGTATGCTGTATAGGGTACGCACCGTGAATAGAGCTTGGGGGCTGGAAGTTGCTCGAATCAGCGAGTGGGTGGTGGGTAAGTGTGACGGCCTCGGCCATGACCGTGCGTGACTGCAGACTCTGAACGCCGTCCACGTAGGTTATGTGACGGCCTCGGCCATGACCGTGCATGACTGCAGACTCTGAACGCCGTCCACTTGGGCTGCACTAAATTTATAAGGCAATGTATTAAATCAAGCACAAGAGAAAGTAATAGTCAAGATGTGTGAGGCTGCCACAGGCGACGCAGCTTCCTGCTGTACAGCGAGCCCTTCTTAGCCGTAGAGACAACGGTGAAGAGCGTAGCATAGTAAACACGTTACCATCAGGTGTCAGCTCTGCGCGTAACTGCGGGCAGTATTTTCACGCGGCTGGCAGCACAGTAGCTTTGCTTACCCCAGAGTCACCTCAAACACTGGAGCAACGCATTGTGCTAGGATGGTGCGGCAGCTGTGACGTCACTAGGTGACAGGAAGTTTTCAGCTCCACAATGATCTTGGGGGCCCACCGTCTACATGTGGCCTGTTGTTGACTGAAACGTTATGCGGTGCATGGCTGGATTTGCACATTAACCGACATCTCGGTCACCTCCCCGGCCATCGCTCACGTTCATTTCAGATCTTTTATGTCCAGTGGCAGGCTCAGTGGTCAGCGTTGCAGAGTCCCTACTTGTTTCCCTTTGACTCTGTGATGGGTCATTTCCAGTGTCAGCTCCCTCATGTCAGACCCTCACAGCCCGGGGACAGCCTCGCTGGTCAGAGGGCAGTTTGCTGTCCGTGCTTTCAGGTTCGATCAGGTAATGTCATTGTGAAGCTGTTTCGCTTAGTCACTGACCGCCGGGACGCATCTGCGGAGGTTTTTCTCTGGACCTGCACACGCTAGGTGTTGGTCCCCAGTGTGCGATGTGAACTGTGCGACTCCCTCTCTGGTGACGGTAGTGCTCACCGTTTCTCCCTGTGCTTGATTTTCAGCTAATAGTGCTGGACCCACCGGTGAGTAGTCGGGTGCCCTGTGGCCCACCGCCCGCCCGCCTGGGTGGCAGGCGCCGTGGCGTGGGGACTCTTCGTGCCTCCCGTAGCCCCCGTAGTCAGCGTAGACTTGGCCAGCGCAGAGCTCCCGCGCCACTGCGTTCGGCCAGCCCTGCTACACTCTACACTCCCACCCCTGCCTGCCCGCAGGTGGAAGCCAGCGAGGACGCGCGGTCTGTCCCACACTGCTTCACCATTTACGCGGCTCCGAAGACCATCGTGGTGGCAGCCAGGTAAGGAGGCCAGGAGCGGGGCCTCCCTGTCGCGGCCAAGTCCCCTCAGAGTTGTGGGAGTGACGTGTGTCCCTGGAGGCGTCGTGTGTCCAACGTGCTTCTCCACTGGTGGGGCTTGGAGGGCACGTGACACTTGCGAACATGCCCGCGACTGGCCATGGCGCTCACAGCACTGGAGGACGGCCAGTCTCCAGGAGCACGAGCTCTTGGCACACCGGCAGCCCAAGGGGCAGCCCGACAGGCCAGTGGGAAGAGCCTAGCCGGGTGGCCACGCCAGGGTCCCCATCTGCATCCTGCCCCCAGGGCTGTGCAGCACGAGGCTCATCAGGCCCAGCTCAGGAGCAAATGGCCACTTTCCCTGCCCCCCGCAACCCCAGGCAGCAGGAAGAAGACCTGAGCCCCAAGGTTCAGGGCAGCCCTGCCTCAGGCACCAGCACCTGCTGTGCTCAGTCCCTCCCCTGGGGAAGCCCAGTGAAACCCAACTTGTAGCTTCCACCCTGTAGTGTCCTAGCCCAGGGGTCCCCAGCCTCCCGGGCCACGGATCTGGAAGGTCTGTGGCCCGTTAGTATCTGGCCGCACAGCAGGAGGTGAGCGGCGGGCCAGTGAGCGAAGGTCCATCTGCATCTGCAGCCGCTCCCAGCGCCGGCGTCACCACCTCAGCTGCGCCTCAGATCCTCAGGCATTAGGTTCTCACGGCACCCGGCCCTGGGGCCGGAAAGGTTGGGGACCGCTGCTGTAGAGCCCCGCTCCATGCTGGCAGTGCCAATCCCTGGGGGATACAGGCTGGTCCACCAGCAGCACTCCCGGCAGCCCTCTGGACCCGCAGACGGGACACGGGGCGACACAGGCACCCGACCCCCTGACCTACCCCCTACGAGGTCGGCGCGAGGGGCCCTGGCCGCGCTCTGCCAGCCAGCCCTGAGCCTCGGCCCTGCCCCACAGCTCTCAACTAGAGAAGGAGAAGTGGATGCAGGACCTGGACTCCGCCATCGAAGCGGCCAAGGGCGGTGGCGCCACGCCCCTGGAGCTGCCAGGCAGCGTGGTGTGCACCCCGCCCCGCAGTGAGTTCCCCCCGAGACCCCTAGGGCGCCCAAGGAGGCTCTTCTGCAAATCGGTTTCCTTGGGTGCGGGCTGTCCCCTGCCCCCAGGTGCTCTTCTCACAAGGACCATTCCGGGCCACGTTCCGGCCACGTGGTCTTGCCCTCCGCCTACGCCTGGCCTGGGCCCGAGGGCTCCCCTGCCCCCGAGGCCCATCCCCTCTGTGGAGGGCCCAGCCCAGCCAGCCCGTCCCCTCTGAGCGGACAGCCGCCTTCTCCCCCAGGATCCTCCGACGAGGTCCCTCTGGAGCAGGAGCTAGCCCATGCTCACAGCACCCGCAGCCCCCCGGAGGGGCAGAGCACGCTCCGGGCCAACAGCACGGCGCACGTGTGCTGGTGCCGGAGCACCAGCGTCTCCAGAGCCGACCACAGTGCGGCTGTTGAGGTACGGCGGGCGTGAGCACCTCTGCTGTGCCAGCTGCTGACGAGGCCGGGCCAGGCCCCCAGGCCGCCTGCCCGGGGCAGGAAGCCTGCTTGGGCACAGCAGCCCAGGGTTTGCCTGGGCTGAGGGGGTGACAGTTGCTCAAGGCTGGTGCAGACCAGTGAGGAAAACTAGCCATGTGCTGGGAAGAGCCAGGGTGGTGTCCCCAGGGTTCTCAAAGGGACCGTCACTGGGGGCTGTTGCCTCCGTCACTTGGCTCCAGCCATTCGCCTTTCAGTGTGGTTTCTGAGCTTCTGC